CCGTTTGTTGTTGTCTTCCCGGTGGTTCGACGGTCACCACCGAACCACCTTCATCTGGCACCTCTCCTGCGACCACTATGGGTGGTGGCGTTTCTTCCAACGCCGCTATTGGCCGAATGAGACTAGCCGGTGTCCCACTGGAACCTCTATTGTCGCCTGATGCCATTTCTTTCTCGTGAACAATGTGCTTTTGGCTGTGTCTTTTGTCACACAACAGATGACGCCAAATAATGTGACATTGGTCTTAGGTTTCTGTGAGCTTCGACACCGACAGTTTAATTGTTCCTGTAAGATCACAACGGAAAGAAGGTCGTCAGCCGTTTCCGGGAGGAGCTCCCGGAAAGACGCTCCGACGGTCAAGTTAGTTGGGTGAATTTGGGTTTTTGGGAGTATTACTTGGAGAAGGCTACTTACCTGTCGGGGCTGTGAGCGTAGCCTTTTATACTAGGCGCTCATGATCGTTCGTACGAGACTGGATCGCTAGAGGCGATAGGATCAGGGGCGCTGATTGGAGGATCGTGCTCCTCTATCTGTCAGAGCGCTGCTATTGGTGCTGCCAATAGTGCCCAGATTGTCTGCTTTGTCGCTTGACCGTATCATTTGTCTTGGAGTGGAAGGCGTCCTTAGCGGACGCGAGCCTTTCTGAGGGAGTGCCTTGCCCTTAGAGGCGCTAGCGAGCGCGAGGGTTTACTAGGTCTCTCCCGCCGGGCGCGCTGAGCCTTCGGGCGTTCTGGCGCGGTTCTTTTCGTGTTTGCTAGGGCACGTTATCATATATATATATATATATATATATATATATATATATATATATATATATATATTATATATATATATATATATATATTACCTAATGATTTTTAAATCGTAAAGTTGGTTCAAACTCAAATTAGTTGAAAAGATAAATAATTTGGCTTGTTTGTTATTGATAATTGAACACGTCTATAGTGAAAAATAATTGATATTTTTTTTTTACTCTTTTTTATATTTGTCTTTAAGGGACCATTTTTTTTCTTTTCGCCCTGGCCCCATATATGTTTGGAACGGCCCTAGTTTCTGAACGCATATCACAAACTCTGTTTTATCCATTTGTTGATGAATATGAGAACAAAAATTAGCAAACAAGAGAGAATTGGTTACCAAAAACGAGGAAGGTCGCGTTTCCCTGTGGTTTGTGTAATATAATGAAATCAAACATCGTCGACTCCATCAATACGTTATTAAAAGACGCACGAAAACTACCAATAACGATGTTTATTGATTTCTTTCGAGCAACTATACAACAATGGTGATGTTAAAAACATAATGCCGGAGGTAATTGTTTAAATTATAATACTTCCATTGTAATTCTACTATAACTTAGCGTGCATGACAAGATACACGCATATACGTATATGAATGGTTTTATCACTTAATATAAGTAAAAAAAATTTTTTACTAAATTCTTTTGACAAAATTGCAAAAAAGTCCCTGTGGTATGTATTTTTCTGGGGTTTTAGTCCAAACCTTGGATTTTTTAGATTGATGGTCATTTTGAGCTAGTTTACATGCAGTTTTGGTTCCTGTCCAAACTAAAAAGACTATTATACCCTTAATGAATTTAGTTTTCATTTTTCTTTCACTTTTTAAAATTATTATTATTATTAAATATAAAACCGGGCCTACCTCTCTCTCCTCTCTCTCTCAACTGGTACGCCATCATATTTTCCCTCTCGTCCTTTCTTCTTTAACACACAAACACATACCCACCCACCACCGTTAGCCACCACTATTCGCCACCACCACCATCAATTATTCTATCTCTATCTCTCTCACTCTCACTATCCCCCTCTCTCTCTCTCTCTCTCTCTCTCTCTCTCTCTCTCTCTCTCTCTTATCCCTCATACACGCATCAAAGAAAGTAAAACTCAAGATCATCTTCATCCGATGTTGACTGAAGATCTGACGATGATTTGGCGGCAGAAGGAAAAGAGACCGAGTGATAAATCGATCGATCGATACAGAAGGAAAGAAATCATGGGTCAAGGAAAAGAAAGTGGCTGCAAAAATCTGGCAGGGACCTTAGATCTAGATGCAACTTTCTGGCGACGGTGAAGCAAACCACCCCCCCCCCCCCCCCCCCCCCCCCCCCCCCAATTCATCTTCTCCAACCAAACCCCCTGGTTGCAGCCCCAAATAGGTCTAATTTCTTCCAGTTTTTTTGTGGTCATGCTCCAATGTATCAAAATCCTTGCGTGAATTTGTGGTCTCGCTTATTCTTTCCTTGCTTCGGTGGTGTTGTTTGGCTCTGATGAACTTCTTCTTACCCTCCAAATCCAGAAATCTAGAAATCAAAATCGAGTACTGTTCATCGTCTTCTACAACAACGATTACAATGGATTCAGATGATTTCATAACACGAACCCATGGTTTCTCTGTTTCAATTTGGATTGTAGATGATGGAGATGGTGATGTGGTGCAGAAGTGTTTAGCGATGTAGGGGTGGAGATTTATCAAACGCAGATTAAGCTGACATGCTTGTAAAATCAATCGACGACTAAGGTTCTTGAGGCCCACCTCACCGTCTCCTTCTTTCTTTCCCCTTCATTCGTTCCTTTTTTTCCTTTCAGTCCATCGTCTTGAAGCAGTGAAGTCAAACCTACATTAATATGGCAGAGTTAGGGGCTTAGGGTTGTACACACAAAGATAGATCGATCTGCATAGTTGGGGATGTGAGGCAGAGTAGATGCGATGCAGTGGTGGATGAAGATGGTCAATGGAGGTTATGGCTAAAGTGAAGGTTGGTAGAGATTGACTGGTTTTCCAATTACAGGGATGATCAAGGCATTTATCATTTTCAATTTATGAACATATTTAATGTTTTAGGGTTGCAATTGGATGAACTGGATGGAGAATATGAACTTTGGATGACTTTGTGGGGAGAGAGAGAGCCCTGGTTATTTATTTTCTTTTTCCTTTAAATTAAATAGAAAAAATATAAAAAAAATATCAGAAAGCGCATTTTCAGTTTTCTGAAGGACCACAAGCAAACATGGTCAAAAGGATCACGAAGCCAAAAGAAGTCAGGTTTGGACTAAAACAAAAAAAAAATGGATATAAAGGGACAATTTTTGCAATTTAGTCAATTCTTTTTCCTGAAGTTGAAACTATTGATTGCAAAAAGATTTAAAAACCAGCAACTCCATGTCCTTGTTGGCAATGGCATGACTTGACCCTATAGTCTATACTAATGATTTTAGTACAAGTTGCGGTAGGTGAATCAACATCATGGGTGGAGAACGGATCCTTTGATATAATTGCCAAATATGGAATCCTAGGTGGCGTGGGGGAACCACCTAGAGATTGTGATGGGAGGTTGTTGGGAAATAATCTTTTTTTGTGTCGCAAGTGTTCTCCCTTTCATAACATCTGGCAAATCATCGGTCAATATGCTCCGAGAGTCTTCTACTACATTCTTGACTGGATAAATAAAGTCAACTGTAGGAATTTCATGGATGTCTGGAAGTTGTAATTCGTCTATATCAACAGCTTTGAACTTCATACGCTCTTTTAAAAAGGATAAATCACTCGTTTCCATCTAAATCCTCCATATTACTAGCCATTAACTCATCAATGAGCTTGTGGGCCCTGTTCAGCTGTTCTCACTCTTACTCATTGATGATCCTGTTCCCACGAAAGAGAGAAAAATCTAGTAAGTTACATACTGTATCAAATAAATAGAAGGCTAATTATTGATCCTTTGAAATAACTTTTGATCAACTAATACAATGATGCCCTCTACAAAGAGCAAAACGTATCTCATTTAGACTAATGTACTGAGTTCAAGGGTTTAACCCCTCAAACTAAAAAAATTGCAGCAATCTTTCAATACTAATTTAGCTTTCAAAAATCTTTCAATCATTAAAGTTTTCAACATTTGAAAAATGAAGCAAACTTAAAAATAACAACAATCTATCAATACTAAAAATTAACAACAACCTTTTAATATTTTAGCCTTTAAAGAAAGAAACTTATTTAGCAACAATTTTTAACTCTCTCCTCAAAAATCAGAATTCAGAGCACATAATAAGAGTCTAAGAGATTGTAATTCGTAGATCATAGGACATGAAGATGGGAAATTTGATTTATCATTGATACCTAAAGCAATCAAGCAAAACACGAACTATAAGAAACTTTTTGTTACCTCTGTACTCTGCAGTCTTCAGTTCTGGAATAATAAATATATGCTTTACAATCCGTCTTCGTCTTCAAAAGCCGATGACGTTGCGTTTACCTACCCTGCCGCCTGGGTCGTATGTATGTACCATTTAGCCACTCAATTGAACCCTTTAGCCCATTACTGCCCTAGGCCATGGCCCAAGCTTGCCCACCCCTTGGGCCGGCCCGGTCCAACATTTCGTACACGTTCCGTTGCATATGATTTCTACTGTATCCACCAAATGCAATGGCCTCGTGATTTCCCGTTTGCTACAACAAAGCATTAATCCATTACAAGATTGCAGGATTTTAATCCCGCTAGAATCAGGGTAGAAGTCAAGCTTTAAATGAGGGGGAATGATAGTGTTCTCACCAACAAATCGTATCATACATATTGTAGACATAAAAGGGTTGAATGTTTTTTATACACGTGGGTGAAAAGCGGAACGTCAATGTTTGGATAGAGAGAGATAGAGAGAGACAGAAGCACAAAAATATTCTACCCCTAACCATCACATACACCTGAGATTGTGACCATTGCATATGGTCTTAAACGTACAACAAAAATAATAATTAAAAATAGCTTTTTTTCATGAACTTTTAAGTATTAGCCTGAATTCAAAAGAACGGTGAAAACCACATACTTTTTTCAATCAAGGACATTTCCTAGTCAAGTCAACGTCAGCAAAGCATTAAAGCGTTAGGCAAAGCTTCCATGGCAAGCTAATAAGCTATCAGCTTCCATGACAAAACTTAAAAACACACCTTAAATACCCTTTCTTCAAGTCTTTCAACCCAGTCCAAAAATGGTGAACACCAGATCCAAAATCAAGAAAATCCAGAACACCATAAACCTCTGGTTCTCAAAGGCTGCCATGGCGGACAACAATCATCTGGCCACGGAGTCTGGAGCTCTGATCGGTTCCAACGACGATCTTTTAATTGAAATCCTTCTCCGATTGCCTGTTACCTCTGTTCTTCGATTCAAATCTGTATCCAAACACTGGCGTTCCCTTTTGAGTAACCGGCGATTTACCCTGCTGTTTAAAAATGCTTCCTTCTCTCCTGGCTTTTTTGGCTTTTTTGGTCGCAGTTTGTATATTCCATTTGATGATGAGAACCGAAGTACTCCTCCTTTTCGTGATCTCGACTTCTATCCTGATCCTCATGGTATTAAAATCGTGCAATCTTGTAACGGATTGCTGCTTTGTTGTAGCAATGAAGGGGATGAACGTGTGCGTAAATATTATGTATTTAATCCTACCACCAAGCAATTTGCAGTCATCCCATCAATTCTCGGAGGCATGGCTGTTCGTGAAACCATCCTTTTTATGGCTCTGGCATTTCATCAAACAGATTGTGTTCACTACAAGGTTGTTTGCTTTTACTTTCCTGAGCCTGACGATGTGGTTAAGGTTCAAATCTACTCCTCAGAAACAGGGAAATGGAAGATTTCAGATGATTATATCTCTTTACCCGATTACTATATTCCACCCTTGGACTACATAGTTTTTTGGAATCAAGCGATCCACTGGGTTCCCTTCGGCGACAAGTCATACTTCAAGCTCGACACAGAAGAATTTCAATCGCTGCCCTTACCTGTGAGAGTGGCGTCTTCTGAAGCTTATGAAAGCATGGATCATTTTATGACCCTTTACTTCGGGGAGTCGCGAGGCCATCTGCATTTGGTGAAGAGGGTCGATCCCAGTGAGAGCCGTTTACAGATGAATGTGTTCGAGATGTTAAACGATTATTCTGGGTGGTTTCTTAAGTATCGAGTTGACCTTGATGAACTTCCGGATGCTTATCCTGAGATGATCAATAGCTATTTTGATCCATTGAGCTTGGGTTATTACATATTTGAAGTGCTTGATGTGGTTAGGGGTGAACATGAAGAAGAAGAAGAAGAAACATTTATGGTGATCAGAGTTCCAGGGAAGGTCATAAGGTAATAATGTTGTGGACAAGAGTTTCAAGCAGATATCTGACAAGATCGGACAAACGAGACGCAAACATGCTCATCGTTATATTGAATCTTTGGTGTCTTTCTAATATGTGTAAGGTCCAGTTTGTGTGTAACCTTCAAAATCCTATTTTCTACTATTACTTTATACAGAATCAAAGAAGGCTAGCTCGCTCTTAAAAGCACGTCCAATTGAAGGTTTTACATTGATTTTTACTATTTTAATTAGTCTTTGAAAATGTTATATACCATTGGCACAAAAAGACTATATATTGTTGTTATTTACTTCAACCATAAGAACAAAAAAAAAAAAAAAATGGAAGTACAAAGTTACTTTTGGGTAGATTTTTAAATATACAATGTCTCGATACAAAAAAAAAAATTTTAAAAAAAAAAAAAGTGCAATGGTGTAAAAGTATGAAATAGTAGCATGTTATTATTATTTCTTTCAAGGTGGGTCAATAACTCAATATACTGTGAATCCAGAGGACAACATTTGTGTCTGAAAATGATCTTAAGCATTGACATGCAGTAGCCCACATGAAGTATGTTATGAACAACCCATCTTGGTTAATCGAATAAAATTGTTTTCTCTTGCAAACCAACAGGCTCAGGAGTCTTCTGTTATGTTTAATTACTTATTCTTTGTAGATAAAGATTTTCATTTTAAATATAAAATATTAATTTGAGTTGAAAATTACATCGAGACCGAAGGAAAACCAACAAGTTGTGCCGCTACCATTTTCTTTATTGCAAAACTAAGTGTACTAAAAACTATGTCCACTGATCTCAGATCATAACATTACAATTTATGACTCGTCAGATTATATTGATGAGCTCCATACCTTTAGGTGTTACCAAACCAAAAGTATCAAAAGCAAATGATATAAACACGTGTTGATTATCTATACACGTTTTCTCAAGCTTTGTTACTTTACGATAAATAATATTTAAAACAGTTTGTCTTGTAGTGAAACCCCACTCCTCTACTCTGCTCGAGGGAAACTTGTTAAACCCATACATGCATGTTTCCCTCCCATATATATTAAAAAACCTAAACATATGTCGATCTAAGTGTTAATCTTTGTAACATCTTTATTTCGAGCCTAGACTTTTTATCTGTTTTTAGTGGAATTTTTTTTTTTGGAAAATAAAATAAATAGATAATTAAAAATAAAAATAAAACAATTATCTATTTTATTAGTTTAAGAAATAGATCTATAATTAAATAATATCAAAAAGTTATGTTTTTGTGTGGTAGATTTACTTTGATCAAATTAGTTCTTGGGTATTTATTACCTTTCTTTGTTCAAAATCCTTTGTAAGATGTATTAGATGTTCGAGGTCACTAGAGCTAATTTTCATTGGTTCTCTCACGGTTTTGATTGAAGCCTTACTACTCAAATGGCATTGGAGATTTGAGACTTGTCACACGGTGTTATGGGTTCAAGTTTTTAAATCTATTCATGATTGGAAAGGTGGTTTTGTGATGATGGTCAAAATTTAAAGTCTAAAGGAATTTGGTCTTCTCTTGTCGATATCGTGCTTAGACTTTATAAAAATCAAATGATCATGTTGGAACCGATCATAGCTCCAGAGTCCGGGCTTTGTTGCTAGATGATTGGAGTCCCCCATATAGGTGGGAGTTTTGAAATTTTAGTGGTATTCTTAGGCCTGTAAATGGGGCGGGTGTGGAGCGAATCACCATTGATCCAAAATTGTTTAAAAATTTGAAAACATGATCCGCCCCGATCCATCAACCCTCAGGGTTCTGAATAATCAAATCTATACCCATATCCAACGAATACCTGACCCATTAATACGACCATTTTACAATAATAAAATTACATAATTTTGATGTGTGCCACAAAGTAATAATTTTCAGTAAAAAAAGATAAAATGTCTACTAAAACAAGAATTACATTACTAAAACTCAAAATCCAATATAACAAAAAATACTTAATACTCAAAATGCAATAAAATACGAATTACATTTTACTTAGACATCGAGTGGAAAACTTTTTTGTTTCATTGTGGGTAGCCAATCTTGTGTAGCCACCAAAGTCTCTACAGTTTCAGGTAACATGGAAGAACGACATTCATCGATTATTCTTCCTCCAACACTAAATGCAGTCTCGAATGCAACACTAGTTGTTGGGACAACTAAAATGTCGCGTGCAATCTTAGCTAAAGTAGGATGCTTGACACTATTAGCTTTCCACCAATTTAGAATATTAAATGACTCGCTTATTCGAGAGGTAGGTTCTTTTAAATACATCTCTAACTCGGTTTTACATGTATCAACTACATTCTATTTCCTTTCATACCAAGAATCAAACCTACTTAATTCATCATCATTGGAATGTATCTCATTTGAAGAACCATGAACTTCTTGGCTTGATTCTACAATTGAATGAGATAAACAATATTCTTCATACTCATTAAAAAGATCAAAGAAAGCATCGCAAAGATTTTCAATATACGAAGCAGCAAGAGAAGAATGGATATTATTCAGTAATACTCGACCAAACTCATTTTTTACCTCGGATCAAGTACAACAACAACCGATAATACCAAACAAAATTCATCCCTATTTTTTTTAAACTTTAACTTCATTAGGGCAGCCAACTTTTGAAAAAAAAAAAAAAACATATTCAATTAGTCTGCCACTTCATCGATTTGTTGCTATATAGAAGTGTTCTAAGCAATTATTTATCACATGGGCAACTTTCCACTCATCATTATTGGACGAAATTTATAATTTTGATTTGTTTATGCCAAACCCTAAAATACCTCTTTCATTTCTAGAGCAGCACTTTGGATCATAGATGGGACAATCTATTTTAACTTTTTTCTTATCTTTAAGTTTGCATTGAGTTTTTGCATTATTAAACTTTTGTGAAGCAAATGGAGATCACTTCAAGTATTTTTATAGTTTCGTATCTTATCTTTCTAATTTTGTTAACATGGCCTTAGTTCCATACTTGCAAATCCGAAACCAAGATCCTACATTTTTAATATTGGGAAGACTAGTGATTTTTAATATGGTAGGCTCAGATCAAAACTTAAATGATAAAAGAAATCAAGTCTGGTAATGTAGTACATTTGAAAGAAAAAAGAAATCCACAAATAATCCATATATATTTTTTTGCAATATTAAAAGTAAAAACAAAGATACTGTAGTGCAAACTTTTGATAATTTTTTCTGTAAGGTTATTTTCATATTATATTTTGCAATTAAAAGTCTATAATGAAAACCATATAATTTTGTAAACTAGGAAAAACTCCGGTCTAACATTAACCAAGTTTTGGACAAATATCCATAAAAAATTGAAGTTCCACTGTTAATACTTGATACTATAAACAACATACAAGCAGGGGCGGACCCAAGAATTTTCCGAAGAGAGGGCAAAAAAAAATTTATAACTTTTTATGAGGGGCAAATATTTTTGAAGTGTCAAAATATATAATTTTGAATAGTTAAAATATAATTTAAAAAAAAAACGATTTTTAATAATAATAAATTTGTTGTCGGGGCAGCTGCCCGCCTGCCTCCATTGTAGGACCGCCTCTGCAAACAAGTAACCAAATCTTGTAAAAAATATTATAAAAAATACTTAAAACCATAAATGCAAAATTAGATTAAGAAAATATTAGACCTAAAAATGCAAACATATCGACCAAATTTGTAATCTAATCTAATATTTTTCTAATGAATGTTGTTGGAATGGGAAAAAAAAATGGAAATTCAATTTACACAAATTTAAAGTCTTTTTGTTGACAGGGTTTTAGTTTTAGAGGCCTTAAAATTATTTGACAAATTCGCGTCAACATGATCTTTGGTAAAGCTTCCAAGGCAATCTTGTTTTCTGTTTACTCTCAGCTTCCACTGCAATCTTTGACCATGAAACCACACCTTAAATACACCACCTCTTCAACGCCTTCTACCCACTCCAAAAATGACGAACACCAGATCCAAAATCAAAAAAACCCAGAATACCAAGAACAACCAGTCTGCAGCTTTAATAGATTCAAACGATGATGTTTTGATCGAAATCCTTCTCCGACTTCCTGTTACCTCTGTTCTGCAATTCAAATCTGTATCCAAACACTGTCGTTCCCTTTTGTGTGACCCGCGTTTTACCCTCCTGTATAAAAGATCTTCAATCTCTCCTGGCTTCTTTTATTACAACATGTATATCCGATTTGATGGTGAGAACCCAAGTTACCCAGCAACTCCCCCTCGTTGTAATCTCGACTTTTACCCTGATCCTTGTGGCATTAAAATCCTGCAATCCTGTAATGGATTAATGCTCTGTTGTAGCAAACGAGGGAGCCAACGTGATCGTAGATATTATGTATTCAATCCCACCACCAGGCAATTTGTAATCATCCCATCGGTTCCTGGAGGCAAGGATGTTCGCAAAAATATCCGTTTTATGGGTCTGGCATTTGATCGAACAGATTGTGTCCACTTCAAAGTTGTTTGTGTTAATCTTGCTAAACCTAAGGAGGACCTATTTCAGATTCAAATCTATTCGTCTGAGACACGGAAATGGAAGATTTCAGATGAATCTATTTCTGCTCCGCATAATACGTACTTCTTCTATGGTGTTTATTGGAATCAAGCGATTCATTGGGTTCCCAACACTTTTAAGCTATCTTGCTTTAAACTCGACACGGAAGAGTTTACACCGTTGCCATTGACAGTGCCGGATGCATCTTGTGGAGGTTATCAATTCGGGTATATGCCCATTTACTTTGGGGAGTCACGAGGCCATCTTCATTTGGCGGATACTCCTGATGGCAGTCGGAACCATTTGCAATTGAACGTGTACGAGATGTTGAAGGATCATTCTGGGTGGTTTGTTAAGTATCGAGTGGAGCTTGTTGAGTTTCTGAATGCTTACCCGGAGATGATCCGTATAAACCCAGATCCTTCAATCCCAATTTATTACGATTATCAGTTGTTAGATGTGGTTAGGGGTGAAGAAGAAGATGAAACCTTCATGGTGATACAAATTCCAGGGAACCGGATTATTAGGTACAATGTTGCCGATAAGAGTTTCAAGCAGGTATTTGATACGAGCCCCTTTTACAGTGGACCAATCGGGCTCGAAGAAGTTCATCCTTATGTTGAAACAATAGTTTCTTTATAAAAAGTCCGATATGTGTGTGTAAACTAGTGGGATTTACTATATGTTGCGGCGGTTATTAATCATATACTTTTTTTAATAATAAACTAGATAGGAAACCCGGGGTTGGATTCGGCACTAATGAGAAGAAAACCGACGGGATCCTCAATATATCGTTGGTGATTTGATGACCATTGCTCATATTGGTATCAAAATGTAAGTATGTTGCTATTATGGGTAAGAAATATACTTACAAAAAATTGAATTTGAATCAACTGTATAAAATTTAAAAGTCTAATCCTAAGTTACAAAACCAATAATACACTCGGTGATCCCGAAATGACCAATTTACCCCTACTTACTTTCCTGCCATCATCACCTCCCATCCTAGTTACTGAAATGACCAACTTCTCTCTGCAACTCCATGTTAAAGCAACACAACCATCTGCCCATCGTACCTGTCAAAAAACTTGTACACCTCATCAAAAAAAAAAAAAAAAATACGTTTATTTCATTCGCCTTTGTACAAAGGTTTTCACTTCTCAGAAAACGCATTCAACCCTTCTAACCTGTCATCCGTGACCAATATCTCTTCATAGCATTCTTCTTCCAATAAACCAGACCCGATCTCCATTTCTAAACCATGGCTAATCACTCTTTTAGCCATCCGTATAGCCACAGGACCCTAATAACATCATCTTACATCTTACATCATAATATTATATCATAATAAAAAACATTTCATATAATATTAATAAACGTACCTTTTGATTTATATCAAGCGCCTTTGAGTAAGCATCACCCGCAGGAGCACAGTAATACATGAAATTATTCTATGGTTTGTACTTTATTTTTTCTACCCATAATAACAATGTGCTTATATTTATTTGGTTATCAATATGGGCATTTTAATTTATATGTTACATATTTTTAATATTAGTATATAAATATACAAATAAAATACCAAATGACAATGCTTCTTTGGGTGTGATCTTTCGGCCTGTGAAAATAAGTTCTTTGGCTATTGAGCTTCCAATTAACCTAGGAAGCCTCTGTGTCCCTCCAGCCCTGTAAAAAATATATAAAAATATGACAACCATTTTTTTTATAAAAATGTATATATTTGTTCTTATATTACCGGTTTCTGGTAAGCCCAGTTTGGCATCTTCTCCTGATGACGTCAAATTATTAGAAAATGAAACTTGTGTAAAAAATCATAAATAATTATTGCGAGCCTTTGATCTAGAAAACACATATCTGGATATCAGTCTCCGACCGTTGGATGGTCTCTAGCAGCTTATATCAGGTATGGAATTTAGGGACTTTGTTACAGAAATACAGAACATTGTTCTGAAATACTCATGATCTCTTACAGAAGTGCTAGTATCAAAATTAGATGAAAAACTACTAAAACTAATCGAAACAAATGAGGCGTTATAAACTTTAAAGAGCGAAGATGAAAGTCATGAAATCAGATTCGTGACTACTAATTAACAAAGTCCCAAATGAAAGAGCCAAGTGATGAGTAAAAACTTAATATTAGATTATTATCCATAAAAAAAGATACATTAAGTTGACTTGAGATCAATCCAGTAATTATCAATGATAATGTACATATCAATGATAGTTTCAGCAAAATTTAATTTCACTTAAATCTAACAATTGAAAGACTAAAATTAAGACAAATTGAAGAGGAAAACTAACCTGGTCTGTTGGTCATTATGTGAGGGAGCAGATAAAACCAGTCAATACCATTTCATAAATTGCAAAACAAAATAATGACATCAATATTGTATTTAATTGAAAACTTCATCAGACGAACGCAGCTACTATGTTCGCTAGTCGTAAAAATGAGGTCATCCAAGCACAACATTGTAGATCAATGAAACGACCTGTGAATTCTAAACAATCACACTACAATCAGATGAATTAGGTCTTCAAGGGGGCAAAATCAAATTGTTTCAGAACAAAAAATCAAAACAAAAAGAAAAAAAAGAGATTCGTAGAAGCACTGATGATTTACCCTTTGAAGATGAAGATGGTTCTGACTAAGCGGAGGTTAGGGTTCTGAGATCGGAAGGTCTAACATATATTTCTCTAGAAAGAATCGGCTCGAACTCGAACTCGGGCTCAAAGAATTCAGTCCAGAAATCTCAAATACACACAAAATCAGACCGTTTGTTGTTCATCTACCTCAACATCATAAAGCATTATCTGTGGAAATATAATGAAAATGTTTAAAAAAAGTCAACATCATAAAGCATTATCTGTGGAAATATAATGAAAATGTTTAAAAAAAATGGAAGTGATTTGTAAACCAACAGTTTTTTGTCATACATAACAATTCATGCATTATATAGTTGTACAATACAACATTTTAAAGCACTAATTGTTGTGTATGGAGAAAAATTGTTGTGTACAGATCAGTTCTCTTTAAAAAAAAACGTTCCTGTGTTATTCGAGTATATTTTTGTAATGACCGTAATATAAGTAACTACAGTCGGCCAAATCTGTGGACGGGCCGGTCCATTAGTTTTCAATGCCTTGGGCGAGATAATAAAATAATGCCAATGCCCTTATATTTGTGTCAAACGATAAGAAAATGCATATAAATTTTCTATGACAAAAGTGCAAATAATTTTATAGTAAAATAACACATAAATATAAACAAAGACATATAAAACCACCTAAAATGATACCTGAATGCATTCTATAAATAAATTGTCCATCAAAATCATATTCCTAACCATTTGACACAGTGGAGGCATAATTTGTTTTTAATTCATCATCAAGTTAAAAAAAATCATGAAACAAAATCCATAAACAGATTCATAATGTGATCCATTGATCTTCATGCCTCTAGATATGCTTCTTTCCCCTTTAGTGGATTTTCTCTTTCCATTGGTCAATCTTTTTTCATTGTATAAAAAAGATGAAAGGAATGCTTTTTGTGGCACTCTAAAAATTCATTTGGCGTATGTTAAGTCATAATTTCTTTTTCACACATCTAGTAGTCTCCACATGTGCCTTCTGGTGCATAGAAATAGAACCTTAATATCTGTAATTGATATTATGAAGTGAGGTCCTCTTATAGAAAGGAGAATCATAATGGTGCAAGAAGCATTATAATCTTCATTAAATAGCAAAAAAAAGAGTTCTGGAATTTAGTGAAATAAATTTTAAATAGACAAACCTCCTGATAGTAGCAAAGTTGCAGCAACACCAGAAACAAATCGCACAACTTCTGTCTCGATGTGTCAAGATGAATAGTCAAATGAGGCAATGAACATGTTATAAAAGTCTACACAAAATGCATCAGATAATTACTTCTTTAACAATATCAACACCAAAGTTTTTCCACTTTTCAGTAATTGAAGCAAATTCATTGCTGTCATAAAACATTTCTTACGGGTGAAGAAAAAAATTGAAATTATTTTGAAATTGAAATGAGTTCATATTGTCATAATTAAGAACCAAAGAGAATACTAATGTTGGTGTTAGAACATACCATATTTGTATGTTACAATTAATAAATTTCTAAATTTTACAAACAAAATCCCTTACTCGTCTATTAGATGTCAAAATCAATGAAAGTAAGATAATGAATTATTGAAAAATTAAAACAACAGAAACCCTAAATTCTCCAGAGCATCATTATATCAATAGGAACATGAAATCTATCGGGAGACGGTATTAGAAAAGGAAAGTGATATTTCCACTTCTTCTTTTGATCCATCCACTTAATAAATTTATGGTTTTCCTTTTCTACCCTTTATAACCACCGTTCCTAACACGATTTTTTTTCCTTATTTTGATTTTGTATTCTATTTTAATTTTGATTTTTATACTTAGAAACCAAGTTCCATCATTTACCCATTCGAACTTAATTGGTTTTATTTTTACTTTATTTTAATATATATATATATATATATATATATATATATATATATATATATATATATATAAAGAGGTAAGTTTAATTAAAAAAATAAAAAAATGTTGAAAATGAGAAAATCAGTATCAGCCACTCATTTATATCTTCTCGCGAAACCTTCCGTCGTACCAGTGCGTAGGGGGAGAGGTATTATTTATAAGTGAATACAAATTTACTCATATTCATATAAACTCAAAGTAAATAACGAAAGTTGAACGTATCAAACCTGATTGATGGAAGAAAAACGTTTGCTAAAAAAGGGGAGGAGGTGGAGGAAATCGAACGATCTGAACTGAATGGTGTGGTGGCTGGATCCGACGATAGTGATGGTTCTGAGGGGCGTCGCAATTGGAAGTGGGAGGAGTGAAATGGTAGATGCTGGATTTTTTCCATCCAAAGATAGACAGAAGAGAGATAGGCGGTGGGGGTAAAGATTACAGAAATCGGAATATCATTGGCTGAGAGAAACGGTGAAACAAAGGCACAAAACACGTGTCCAGTAAAATATAGACAATGATAGAAAAAATACCCAAAGCAGAAAGTTAAATGTTTTTTAACATAAATATAAATAGAGGACCCAATTTGCCATAAGGGAGGATAATTTTAATATATATATATATATATATATATATATATATAATATATATATATATATATATATATATATATATATAGGGATAGGGAATATACATTACAGTCCCACCTAAGCTTAGGTATTAAACCTCTAAAATATGTCGTTTTAACTTGCTAAATATACCCGGGTTGGTTTCACTTGGTACATATACCATCCCCCATAACATTTCTTTCTTTCATTATCGTTTTACCATCTCTGTTTTCTTTCCTCCATTATCGTTTATTACTTCACCCAAGTGAACATTACTAAACCCTAAACCTAAACCCTAAACCCTAAACCCTAAACCCTAAACCCTAAACCTAAACCCTAAACCATAAACCCTAAACCTAAACCTAAACCCTAAACCCTAAACCATATTGTGTCGATCTTGAATTTACATCTTGAAGTATTAATCGTGAATCCATTAACCGTAGTCTTTATATAGTAAAACAATGTATTTTCAAGAGGTTTAGTACCTAAGCTTAGGTGGGCCTGTAATGTATATTCCCTTTTCCCATATATATATATATATATATATATATAGATATATATATATATATATATATATATATATATAGATATATATATATATATATATATATATATATATATATATATAGGGAAATGATCAAATGAGAACACCTAAAAGGTTGAGAACGCGAAAACAGTTGTGGACCAATTATTTTATAAGGGCATTAGAGGCATTTTACAATTTAATTAAATATGGATAAATGGAAAGTAATTAATCAATTCCGAAAATCATGAGAATTTTTTCCCCAATTATTAAGAATACTTAAAATCTTCCTTTTAATTAATAAATTAATAAAAATATCATTTAACATGAATTAAAAAAAACGTTTATTTGTTTTATATTTTTATTTTTACTAACAACATTTGATAATGAATAATTTATCGGTTTACCTCATTTATTTTAAAAAAAATATATCTTCATAAATAATGATTTATACATTACATTTAAAAATGAATAAAATTGTAAATTATAAATGAATTAACTCAGTTGTATTTATGAATACACTTGTAAAATCATAAATGAATAAAACCCGAAAAAAAGATTATAAAATCTACTAAAATGGTACTCATATATAAATAAATACAACACATTTCTATTCATATAAGAATATAATTATAATAGTAAATGAATAAGTTACAATATATATATTTTTTTTGACACGGAAACTAGTGCTACAATTACAATCATAAATGAATAAAACATATTTTTTCTCCTTCCAAAAGAGGTATTGGTGTCGGTGTTTCATTTGGTAAATCTCCCACCTCCCACTATATGCATGTTTATTCATTGTATCTGCAAAAATGTTAATGAAACAATTATGTATAATTATATAGTCATTCACACATAAATACACTGATATTCACAAATGAATACCCTGTTATTCATAAATAAATATAGTCATTCAAACATAAATTCACACATAAATATGCTTGCAGTGGTTGCTTGCTTTGCTCCTCTCGGACCAGCCTCATGGAGTATTCATTGATGATTAACTGCAAAATGAGACATCTAACATTATATTCATATAAGATTACAACTGCAAGCATTCAAGTTCCATTTTTCTGAATTCGGGCATTTCATCGAGCACCTTATGTGCATAACTTATCTTCTTCCCCTATTAGCCAATTTAAATGAGTAAAGTACCATACCTGAGAAACATTTTCAAGCAAAAGAATTGCGAAGCTTTGGTGCATACAATAAAATAAACAACAGAAGAGGTTCAAATCAGCATAACATTTGGCTTTCCAATTGATTTTGCAAGAAAAAAAGACTGCACATGTACAGATTCGAACAATATATAGCATTGTAAGGCTCAAATCAAGATAAGAGGTGGACTTCTACCTGCAATCAAGATTAAGACACTTGTAAAACGCCACTTTCGACCACCACCAAGCCAACACTCTACTGTAATACGTAAATCGCGCAGAGAAAAGGAAGAATTCCCAGTTCCCTGTCTTTTCCCTGTTCTTCGATTTCTACCTGCAACCAAGATTAAGACGGGGTGAGAGACGGGAATGAAAAAGAAAAACTTGATTCTGAAGAAAAAGGGCTGCGATTCGAATCAGAAAAGAAGAGGAAGTGAGTCTCGCCATTTTTTCTCTTGCTCACATACCTGCATCGAGACGATGAAGAACGAAAGTCATCGCTAGGGTCTGCCACTGTTCGCCGCCAACATAACTCCATCACCGCTGCTTCCCCCTCCTCCTTCTCGATCTCACTCTGAATCCTCATGTACTCTCTTATCTGTTTCACATTTTTAGATGCTCTGGTGGTGTATAGATGAGGGAGGCGACGAAGTGTGCCCTAGGTATAGAGAGAGAGAGAGAGAGACGACAAATTAAAAGGAAAGATATCAGTGTGTGAGAAGTTATAGAAATTAAATAAACATTCAATTACTATTATACCCTTTTCACCATTTAAAGTTACACTTTAATACCAATAATTTTCAGAATTTACATAAATGGTCCGTCTGATAATAGCCTTAGATTTGAATATTTAGATGGTCTAGATCTGTTCTCGCGTTCTCAACCTTTTAGGTGTTCTCATTTGATCCTACTCCTATATATATATATATATATATATATATATATATATATATATATATATATATATATATATAATAAAAAAAGGATATAATCAAAATAATTAAAATGTATTCGATATTATATCGGGATTTTTAAATTTCTTTTATATAGGTTTATTTACTGTAACTGTCTCTTATACGGTATAAGGACATCTTATATACTACGGAGAATTTCTATAAAACATATAGGTTGTTCTAGTAAATTCACTATTAAATAGGGATTCATTTATGTAATTTTTATTTAATTTAGAGACAAAATTGCAAAAATGGTCTCTGTGGTATGATTTTTTTTGGGGGTTTGGTCCAAACCCCAATTTTTTTGGCTTTGTGGTCCTTTTTGCCATTTTGTATGTAGATTTGGTCCCTTGTAAAATTTGAAATGACTAAATTGCCCTTATTAGATTTATTTTCCATTTTCTTTTTTATAAGTATTTTTATATATTAAATAAAGATAGCATCTCTCTATCTCTCTCTCTCTCTCTCATATCAGGTTTTAATACCCAGAACTCAAAATCGACCACCGTCCTCTTCTTCAATCATAGACCTCAATCTATCTTCTATTCCACCTCATTATTCCGCCACCACCTCGTGCATGATTATCTCTCATAAAACCCATCATCTTGCATTCCTGAATCATCCCTCAGCTCCATAAAGAAGGTCGATTCCATGTATAAAGTATGTACAAAGAAGTCAGATCTCTATATGTTATTCCCAAATCAAAAGTGAAACAAATAGGTTGTGTTTCCTATAATTGGGTTTTATCACACATGTTTCAGTATGGCTTTCATCCCGTCATCAATTGCAAGCATCCAATTCTCCTTTTTATTTGCCTTTTCGAAGCTTATTAGGTCGTAACCAGAGAAAAGAGCAAAATCTACACATTCATCAAAATTAATCGGTTGTTAAAGATTTTCTATGCTCCACTGGTTCGTTCGATTTGATTATGGGATTATGCAAGATTGAAACAGACAAAGAAGGTGATGGGAACAGTTGGGTTTTTTTCTTTCCCTTTACTGCCTTTGTTCACCCCCACGATCGATCGACACTAACAATCGTAACCTCTCTTCTTCTCTGTTCAACTCGACTTTTTACAAAGGTATCGTTTCCACAACAATCTCAACTTCCATTAGCCAAAAAATGTCTCTCGTTCTCGAGGACATTACCATCAGTCATCGAGGGAAAAGAACCAACACGTTATTCTTTTAGGAATTAAGATCCGATCCGAGAACAGAACCTTTGCACCAAATCACTTCTGCAATAGGTTTTCTTGTGGTGATTTGGGGCGAGAAAGGAAACAAACATAGAGCTCTCACCGTTGAATTAATGGTGAAATCGATTTTCTTGTGTTGATTTGGGGATGTATGGAGAAGACAACCCAGAGAGAGAGAGAGAGAGAGGTGGGTCCCAAAATTTTTATTAATAAAACTTTATATTAAATAGAAAAAAACATAGAAAATGTATCAGAAAGGTATATTTGTCTTTTTAATTTTACGAGGGACCAAAACCACAAACAAAGTAGCTCAAAAGGACCGTCAATCCAAAAAAGTCGAGGTTTGGACCAAAACCCCAAAAAATTGTAACATCCCGACTCCCAGGTATAATATTTATGCATTTATTTTTTAGTTGCTTGAGCAACTCAACGGGTTGGATGCCCCAACTCGTTGAGTAGAGGCGGATTGACCACGTGGGTTTTATGACCAACTCGATGAGTCGGAGAGACCAACTTGGCGAGTTGGCGCTGTGAGAGGAAACCCTAATTCTCCGGGGTTGGGTCCTATTTAAAGGACCTTAAGCCCTCATTTCCGCCTCACCAACCACCTTACTCCCCTGTGTGAAACTCTAATCATCTATAGTGAGCTAATCTTTGGGCATTTTAGTGCACTTTTTGAAGAGAATAGTGGAGTATCACATCAAGGATCGAGTAGAGACTGTTGGATCTGGTGTTAATTCGTCTAGAGCTTCTGTTGAAGGTAAAAAGTCTCCACCTTGCTCATTAGTTTGGTTAGATCTCATTTTATGGATTTTTAGGGCTTATTCCATCTTTCCTTGAGGCTTTGAGTGTATTGAACTCACCAAGAGTTTGAGACTTCGGATCTGGACCTTATAAGGTCCCTAGAGTCCAAAGGTCCCAACTTTATCCAGCTATAGAGTAGCTTTTATGCTTAAGACCCTAAATGGAGTTTGTTTTGGCATTTCAAGCCCTAAGTGCCATGCATGGACGTAAAGATTGTAGCTTTACGTGGTATTTCATCCTTGGAAGGCTAGATCTAGAGTTTAGGGTTGTAAATCTGCCTTAAAACGTCTGAATGAGAAATGGGACTTAAGGGACTCGTCGAGTTGATGAGCCAACTCGACGAGTCGGCTAGGGTTTTCCCCGATGAGTCTGGACATGAGTAACTCGGCGAGTTGATGAGACAACTCGACGAGTTAAGTTGGGTTTTTGCGACTTTTCTGAAGGAACGAGGGGACTCGACGAGTCATATAGATGCACTCGACGAGTTGGGTCAACATGGACTGTTGACTCGAGTGTTGACTTCAGTTGAGTTTAGGGTTTGGTCAAGACAGGGTGTACGGAGACCATGGAGGGGTAGAATGGTCTTTTACCCATTCCAAGAGTTACGGAGAGAGAGAATAGCCTTTGGTTATTTAGAGTTGTGAATGGAGTGTTAATTAGAGATAATTATCATATGTGTTAGGCGGAGGCTAGATCGGTTATTCGTGTACGAGGTTTATTTGCTTGCTTACGAGGCGAGTCTTCTCACTATACTTACCTAGAGTGGTAATCTTTGTATGACCGGAGGGTCTTATGTTCTTTTATTGAGTATTGTGATATCCTGCATTATGTCTTTGTGATTTATGTTGTGTATTATTCTGAGCTTATTGAGTTAGGACCGGAGGGTTCCACTGAGACACATTGACCGGAGGGTCTTATTTGAGTATGGCCATGAGAGGATAATGAGATGTGTGTGGTATTTTAGGGAACTCACTAAGCTTCGTGCTTACCGTGTTATGTATTATGTGTTTCAGGTACTTCTCAAGATCACGGGAAGGCACCGACTTGATGTACACACAAGACGGAGTTATGTTTGAGGACCTAGATGTGTTTTAAACAATTTATGAACATGTGTTTTCGATAAATTGTCATTTTGGAGATTTGTGAACTATGTTTTCGATAAATTGTCTGGACATGAGTAACTCGGCGAGTTGATGAGACAACTCGACGAGTTAAGTTGGGTTTTTGCGACTTTTCTGAAGGAACGAGGGGACTCGACGAGTCATATAGATGCACTCGACGAGTTGGGTCAACATGGACTGTTGACTCGAGTGTTGACTTCAGTTGAGTTTAGGGTTTGGTCAAGACAGGGTGTACGGAGACCATGGAGGGGGGGTAGGGGTAGAATGGTCTTTTACCCATTCCAAGAGTTACGGAGAGAGAGAGAATAGCCTTTGGTTATTTAGAGTTGTGCATGGAGTGTTAATTAGAGATAATTATCATATTGTTAGGCGGAGGCTAGATCGGTTATTTCGTGTACGAGGTTTATTTGCTTGCTTACGAGCGAGTCTTTCACTATACTTACCTTGAGTGGTATCTTTGTATGACCGGAGGGGTCTTATGTCTTTTATTGAGTATTTGTGATTCTGCATTATGTCTTTGTGATTTATGTTGTGTATTATTCTGAGCTTATTGAGTTAGGACCGGAGGGTTCCACTGAGACACATTGACCGGAGGGTCTTATTTGAGTATGGCCATGAGAGGATAATGAGATGTGTGTGGTATTTTAGGGAACTCACTAAGCTTCGTGCTTACCGTGTTATGTATTATGTGTTTCAGGTACTTCTCAAGATCACGGGAAGGCACCGACTTGAATGTACACACGAGACGGAGTTATGTTTTGAGGATCCTAGATTGTGTTTAAACAATTTATGAACATGTGTTTTCGATAAATTGTCATTTTGGAGATTTGTGAACTATGTTTATGAGAATTATGTGATTTTTAAAAATGAAAATTTTGTTTGAAAATTTACGGTGTTACAAGTTGGTATCAGAGCCTTGTTTGAGGGATTCGGATATACCTTCGGGTGTGTCTGGACTCAAACTGAGGATTTGAGAAAAAATTTCAAAAGAAATGATTTTTCTAAAGAAGAGTAAGAGTTTGAAGAGAAAAACGAGTTAGAGCAGTGTGTACAATCAGCCAGAGCCCGAACGGTGATTTCCCAAAATACCCTTACTTATTTGTGTTATGAGATATTTATGAGATGTTAGGGATGCATGCTAGAGGATAGGCTAGGTATTTCATATTTAGGGCTAGAGTTGCCTGATTTGTGATGCCTTAGCCTAGGAGTTGTTGCTATCTGTTGTTTGCCTTGAGTATGTGCTGAGTAGGAGTATGTAGCACGAATCACTTAGAAAGAGTTCTAAGTCGAGGGATAATCTAGGAGAGATATCTAGATGAGTATATGAGGAGTCTACTGAGAGAGTAGTTTGATATCCGTGAGAGATAGAGTACTTGTGAATTGGAATCCTAGGAGGAGGATTTGCTGTGACTACAGGTTGGTGTGGAAGGTAGTATTGGGTCCGTACTACTGAAAACACCGGATCTGTATGCAACCAAAGTAAGAATCCTTAGGTTCCTAAGGAGCACGTAGG